CAGTAAACCATAATATACATATGTACATATATATATATATATATATCAGTTATATATCTATCGATCTATCTATCTATCTATCTATCTATCTATCTAGCTATCTAGCTATCTAGCTATCTATCTATCTAGCTATCTATCTAGCTATCTATCTACCTATCTATCTATCGATCTATCTATATACGTATGTCTATACATATGTATGCATGTATGCATGGCGAGTGCCAGGCTGGGAAGGAAGCTGGAAGCGCAGGGCTTCTGAATAGCGTCGCTGGTCTCAAATAGTCTCCCGGAGTGCTCGCACCGAAAACGTACTGCAGGTCGTACCCGGAGTGCCGCCGCTCAAAGTTGACTGACATAGTGTATTATAATGTGCGATCGCACATGATTTTCAGTATTAGGTACTCGCACAGTCTTCGTCTATAAAGTCGGATTCTCTTAGTTTGGGGATGTTCGAAGAAATATATTGTGGTGCTAAGCATGATGATGCAGGGTTAGGCGTGTTTGGCGTTGCGGGTTTCACGGTGTAGCCAGACGTCGGGCTTAAGGTTTGGGTTCGGGTTTAGGGTCTAGGGTTTAGGGCAGTTCAAAGGTTTAAGGCTTCAGGCTTTCCGAGTTTGGGGTGTCGGGTTCTTCAGGCTTGGGCGCTATGGCTGTAGGGCTCTTGGGAGCCAGCCCTCTCCAATCCCCAAGTTCATGCTGTAGTTGCCAGTGCAGGTTGTGAACGCCATGGGGAATCCGGAGTTGCTGGAAGATATCCAGGAGCTCTTCCAGAGTCCTAGCAGCGCTTCAGTAGAGGATGGTCTACCTTGTGGCAGTCTCATGCGCTGCTACCCAACTGCAGTTCTGCCTACAGAAAACTTGGGTGCAAAGGAAGCTTTTCACGAACTTCCCGAAAGTCGTGGAGGCAGTTCGAAAGCTAGCAGACAACTTCGTCGACTTCGTTCAAGGTCACTTTGCCGCAGTACACTTGCACCTTCGAAGCTGCTTGGGTTTGGGTCTTGCACGCACCGAAGGCTTAAGACCCCTGCTCCTGCAGCTCAAGGACGAAGTTCTGCACATGGGACTATTTTCGCAGTTTTCAGGTTTCTGCCCAGCACTGCATCCCTTCCAGGATGCCGTCTTCAAAGTTAAGAAGCTGCTTACGAAAGGTCAGAAGGGCTTTGAGCGACACATGCTGAGAAGAGCATGTCATGCATTCCAGCCAGGTCTCGACAAGGCACAGGTGATCCTTGCGGAAGAAGCTGACAGCAAGCGGCTTCGCGTGCAGTGGATGTAAGCAACGTCTACAGATCATGCATCCTAGACCCTGGACCCTTCACCCAAGGCCCTGAACTCAACATTCCACATATCCCTTAATCCAAGACTCAAGCAGCCGTTCTGGCGGATGCTAGTGGAGAATGGACTCTAGCCCATCCCTCTGCAAGGGCAATAGTCGCTGTCGCAAGAACCAAGTCGTGTGGAGTGTAATTATAGCTTGCAGACGTTCCAGTCCAACAAGGGCTTAAGAAGAGGCCCTCAAAACAACAAAGACCAGTACGCACCCTCACCCCAACAGTGTACCCTACACCCCGTGGTCGAATTTTGAACTGCGAGCCAAATTTATCCCTGAGCACTTGCTGAGGGAGGCCGAAATCAAGTTCAAAATCAGCCGGGAGTTACAGGCTCAGGCGGACAAGGCGAGAGCTGCGCCAGAGACTGAGGGTTTAGGGCTTAGAGCACCGGCTGTCAACGGATCAGGCTGGTGCGATTTGGGGCCTCGTGGAGGAGATAGACAGCCAGAAGGCACAGAACGGAGTTCCTTGGTGCTGACGCCGCTGCACGCCGCATGTTCTGGCGTACATCTCGTATATTTGAAAGGTGAGCGATGCTTCGAATGGCACATCCCTGCTGGAGCAATCGGCTCCCTTCGCAGGTAGGGCAGCGGAATAGCCGCTTGTTAATGAGCTGCCAGACCCTGTGCGATTAAACCATTGCATGACCAGGCAATGTGATGGGGCTGATCTCCAACTTCGTCGCGGCCACAGACCAGCTTCGCACTGCCTCGCTTGAGGGGAGCTACCTTATTTTGGGGGTCCTTATAATAAGGATCCTATTATTTAGGGTACTATATTAGGGTCCCCTATTTTAGTGGTCCCTCCAAGGCGTCTGCGGGCAGGCTCTGCAGTCCTGCTGCGCGTGTGGGTTCCATCTTCCTCTCAGAGTTTCTGCGCTGCACTGTGAGTCGGAGAGCACTCTAAGCGCGACATGTGTTTTTTCTGCGGCTCCCGGCAAACAACGCACATGTTGTGCCATCACGGACTGCCAAGGATCCAGCACATGCATTCAACTGCCAGAGGATTCGAGACCACAAGAGGTGGTATGTTCCAACATTTTGGCTACATCACCTTTTGCCTGATGCTTCTTTTTGGGCTTGTGGTACTCAGTTTCATGTTGTTTCAGCTTGGGTTTCTCAAGTAGTCCGCCAAGCGGATGTCCCACTACAGACTTCCTCTCTTCGCTTGGATCGGCGAGCCTGGACCAGGACCGTACAAAAAAGTTGGGTTGGATGCTGCCTTGAACTGCTCTCCCATTCTTTTGGAGGTGCCCTTCCCTTGGTGTTTGCAAGTCTCCGGCCCCTCAATCAGTAATATCGTATAGTATAATAAAATAAAGTATAGTATAGTATAGTATAGTATAGTATAATATTATAATATAGTATAGTACAGTATAGTATAGTATAGTATAGTATAATATACTATAATATAGTATAGTGTACTGTATAGTAAAGTAAGGCACCGGACTACTACTACTTTCACGGCCTTCTCTTCGCTTGCACTGTGAAGGGCCGCTGTCTAGGCCGGGAGTGAGGGGGGTCGCTGTGTCTTGCAACGGGTTTAGGGTTCAGGGTCTTGTAACGCGTATCGGTGCATATCGGTGTCTGGGCAGGAGGCAACCTTTGCGCGGGCAACAGACTCTCGGCTTGAGGTTTCGATTGGTGGAGCTTGATGTCACCAGAGGTCTTTCTTCCATTCTATCGCTCATGTGGTCCAAGGTTCGGGTGCCCTTTGCTTGCAATGCCAGCCAGGCAGTCGTCGCTCCTTTCATGCGAGCATGATCGTTCCATTGCACTCGACCGGTGCGGACAACAGGTTTGGTTTTGGATCCAGACAGTACCGAGCCAGATCCCTGCCGGCCCTGCCTGGGCCCGACTTTCGCTGCAGTGCGTCGTGGCAAGCATCTCGCATCACTCCGCAGATGACTCTGGCAAAGCACTACACTAGAACACAGTGGATGAGAGCATGACCTTCGCTACTCCGGCTACTGGTGCAGATCATCAGCTACTCTCTGGTGGGATGTCAATCCAGAACGCATGCCCCAAACGGAAGAGCCGAGTTCAACTTAGCTTTCGAAGAGCTCAGGTGGAGATCAGTGGAGAGACACCTGGCACGGACTCATCATCGGAATGTGTGCCTCATCGACAACTTATATTATGCCATGCTTTGTGTTGCCCTGTGCTTCGGTAGCTGATTTGTGACTGAGCACTGAGCAAGGTGTGTATCTGGTGGCCTTTGCGTGGCTGCTGGTATCACATAAGAATGCGTGTATCTTGGCTGTTTCGCCCCGGTGCAGGGTTGGGGGCCCCACCGCTCCGTCACATTCGCTCAAACAGAGTGTGATAAGGCAAATCACTTTCAGCAACGTCTGCATCAACCCTGAGGCAGGACACTGTCTATCTGTGTGTGTGCGCGCTGGTTGTGGTCGTGATTGTGGTGCCTGCGTTCTCTCTCTCTCTCTCCCTCTCTCTCTCTCTCGCGTGCTATATAGGCATATGCATGTGTGTGCACTGGCTGGCAGATCATTGGTGAACTACTTCCAGTTCACAGCGATCACCGCGAAGGCTGATCAAGATCGTTGCTTGCGATTCCCCCATGTGTAACTCATCGTAGCTATTGCCGAGCTAGCCGCACTGTGACTTGACTGGAGATCATGACGCCCGAGTATATGGATGACTTCCTGCCCAACACACAGGCAGGGAGCTTCTGTTCCAGATCCCAGAGCACGACACCCTAATTTCCGCAACCCTGAATCCCTGAACCCCTACACCCTAAACTGCTTGCGTGACGGGATTGTGTGGAGCCTTGCCGGGCTTGTGCGAGAGTGAGAGTCGAAACCCTAAACCCCAAACCCCTAAACCCTGAACCCCAAGCTGTCAAGTCTTTGCGGCAAGGGCTATTTCCGAGTCGTTGCCGCATTGGTCTTGAGCCTCGGTTCGCAAGGAATGGTAGAGACTCTTACAATGCTACTAGAAATAAGGGTTTAGGGGTTTAGGGTTTAAGGGTAGTAATTAACGATTCCATAATTAATGGTAGCAATAATCGTAATGCCAACAGAAGTAGTAACAGTGATAGTAACCGTGTGAGTATACGTAATCGTCATCGTAGGAGTATTATTGATAGTAGTAAAAATAATGAGGGTCACAAAAAGAACAGTAGTAACGGGAACTGGGACTGAGGGATCCAATCGAAGAAATTCCCGTGAGCTGCTTCATCCCTATGTGGAAGCCATACCAGGCCCGGCGGGAAGCAGCCACTGTCTCTACATTTTCCTGTCAGTGAAGTAGTGCAGGTGAAGGTCCTGATCGGCTTTTGCATCCTCCCGCTCACGCTTTTGGCTTCTGTGGTATTGTTGTTTGCCTGGGAGTCCAGACCCGAGCAAGGACAAACTTGGCAGACCAGCGCAAAAACGGGCTGGGCGGACTTTGCGCTGTCACTTATCGCTGAGGTTCATTCTAGCTCCATTACTGTTTCAGAGCTGCAGCCGGGAGGACGGCTATATCTGAGCCTACGGAACACATGTTGCCGTGCTTGCTCATCCCCACCCTCGAAGAGAAGTTGCGCATGATCCCTAGCGAAGGACTCGCCCGACCTGTCCGAGGAGGAAAAGCTTGGCGACTTGGTCGCTGCAGTTAGCTTCATGTTGCAATTGCAGAGTGTATTCACATGCCCAGGTGCTTTGCGTGGCCAGCGCACTCATCAAACTACAGGCCCCCTTCTGGGTAGCACGTTACGAGCTGGTTTGGAGGTTGTTTGTTCCTGCGAACTGAAGGCAGGTCCGTCCACCACACACGCAGTGTCGAGTGCCCCGACTTCATGCTCTTCTTCGCTGACATGTGCCTCTGAGAACCCCAGGTTCCACCGATCCCGGGCCAGACCAACTTTGAGAAGGCAGGAGCAGAGCAACCATGATCAGTCGGTTGGAGCCTGTATGTATGCAGGTAGGTAGGTAGGTAGGTAGGTAGGTAGGTAAGCATGTATGTGTTTATGTATATATATATATATATGAGCATTGATCTAAAGGTCCTTGTGTGGGGATTATATAAAACGGTTTTAACATGTGAAATAGAGTGTCCGCGAAAGATCCGCGATGGGTCCGCGAAAGGA